AAAATGTCATCTTGAGGAATTTCCCTTTCTCACTTCTGGGATGTAGGGTCTATCTGCATTTGACATTCTTGAAGGTGCGTATGAGTTGCCTGGAAGGGTGTGATTTTGTAAAGCTCAAAACTACTTAAGAAGAGACATGGAGTAGGAGTGGAGACTGATGAAGTTGGAGCGTGAGATACTGTCGAGTACGCGTGGGACAATGAAACGACCATAAGAGGGGATGTCTATTTCGAAATGCTGGTCCCGAAGCGCATTGTTTGTTTGTAATATATCGTCGCGGAGTGACTACTATTTCATCATGGGGTTCCAGAGCGATAGAGTCATGCTCTTACATACAAATCACCATCGGCAACTTGTGTGCTGAGACCGGAATTGATCCCCGGCCTCAGCACCCACAGGTCTTTAGCAGACAGATGTTTGAAAAAAATCCGAGGCCAGCAGGGGGCATAAACTCCAAAGATTTCAACATTTTTATCATCCGTGAAGAAACGGAGATGTTGAACGGCAGACAAGCAACAATCAAAAGCCTGGGAATAATCCCGTTCCTAAACCAACAATGGAAACAGCGGAAGCCAACTTACCCTATGTTACAGGAGAGTGCGAGTCCGACATCCACTTCCACCTGGACAACATCGAGCAAATGATCCAGAAGCAGATCGAAGACGGGACAGCAGCGAAGAGATCACCCGATACCTCGTCGATACTGAGGAAGTTACATAGGATTGAAACGATGCTCCTGGAGGACAAAGCTAGACGAACGGAACGCTCTACCTCACAACAGCCACTATAACTCACGGCGCTGGTGCAACAGCAAACCAAGCATCTGGAAAACAAGATCAATGATAGCAGCGAGGTTTTGGTCAATTCAATGATCAATTTGATGACTCAAATCTCCGACCTTCTACGTAACGATAAGCGATCGCCAAAGCCTCACCGGAGCAGTACTCCATCCAGTCGTACACACAAGCACAGACGAAGCCGCTCGCGCCCACCAGCGAAAAGATCACCAAGGGACCCGAAATTAGACTTACTCCAACGCAAGCTCGACCATCTGGCTTACTGCGATAGAAGACAATGCGGAAACGACGCCGCACAATCATCGCATTACCACAAGTGCGCCTTCTGCCATTCCCCACACGACGAAGATGCCTGTATTGAATCAAGAGCGTCGAAAAACGAAGAGATCTTGTGCGCATCCGCGATCTCTGCTTGTTTTGCCTTGGGAAGTCTTGCCAAAGGCCATGCTAATACAGAATGCCATGCAAGTACTGCAAAAATAGTTCGCATCACCATAGCTTATGCCCATTACCGGAAGAGCGCACCATTCTGGAGGAGCAGATCGCCCACTACTACCACTAGAGGCCCCCGAGGTCTGATCCCCGGCCTCAGCACCTCCATGATCTACGGCGCCAAAAATCGTCTATCTAGGCGGAGGCGAAGAGCGCTGGTGGAGGAGTCGATACAAGTGGGCCAGTTCGTCATTTTATCCGATTCTTACATATTTTGTGTTTTCATGTCGCCATTTTCTCGATTTTTGCATTTGTTGTTTATGTGTGTGTGTTGTTGTTTATCTCTGAGTCATTTTTTGCCCACACATACCTGATTTCTATTTTACGCGTATTTCATATTTTGTTCATACACCGCTGTTTGGTTATTGTGCGCACATATTCTTGTTTCTGCATGCCTTATTGTCATACCTATCCGATTTTCAATGAAACTCACTTATTATTGTCAGGTCATATATCTTCCGGTACTCATATGACACGGTTCGTTCGTGTTGAAGATACTCACCCGTTACCATGATGTGTTATTTGTTCATTTTTGTGAAATAAAAGGTTTAATCACCCAAGTTTGAGGTGCTGATGGTGAGCCGGTCAACACCGCAATTATTTGGCAATTCTTTATTCTGGTATCTATCTGCTGTTACGTCTACTTCAGCAATTCCGCGTGGCAGCATTTCTTAGAAGGCGTGCGAAGGCCGAAGGCCATTAACCAACTTACGAATCCAGGATAACAATCCAGCTCCAAAAGGTGGGAAACAAAGTGAACTTCCATTTTTTTGCTTCTTGTTCCTTTACAATTATTTTTGTTGTCTGGGACCCCCCCCCCTTTCTTAGCCCCTGCATTTCCATTGGGGCTCCAGCACACTTGGCGTTGTATATAGGAAAGGTGAAAATGATCGCATGAGGGCAGCTATAGAAACTCTCATTTCTACTACCAGCGCAGAAACTGGAAAGAAGATACTGCTCCAGTGACGTCATTTTGCAAATGTTTGACAAATGTCATTTGTGCTTCATCCAAATTTTGTACTAGCAGAAATAGAGTCATTCCATGTCCGATTGTCACTGAATCTCGGCATCGCGTATAACTTTGAGCTTGTTTTTTGATTAGTTATTGGCGGCATGTTCAAAACGGCCAGGGCAGTCTCGTCGGATGCGTACGGGCGCGCTGCATCAATAAATCTGGCTAAGCAGATCGCGCAGTCCAACGGTTATTTCGTGCAAGGGAGTCTGTCAAAGTACACTTGCCACCCAGAACGCAGGCAGCACACAGTTGACCAACCACCAAAAATTCCATTCTGTGTGCCTTATATTTCAGATGAGCTGAGCAGAGCTATTAGGAAAAGTTTGCAGCACGCAGGTCTCGAAACTTTCGTTAGGGTCGTCGACATACCACCTCCTAGCCTTAAGCAACAATTGATACGCAACCGCGCCTACGATCGCATTTGCACAAACCCAGGTTGCGTGATCTGCCCCGCCGGAAAACCGGGTGATTGCATGGAGTCAGGCGTGGTATATATCATAACTTGTTTGTCATGCGGGGACCAATACATAGGAGAAACAGGCAGGCCGCTGTGCGTAAGAATTAAGGAGCACCTGGATGGTCTTCAAAAATCTAAAACATGCACACCACTGGGCGCCCATCGCAGGCAATGCCATGAAAATCAACTTTTCGAAACATCTGTCACGATCCTATCGCGAGAAACTGAAGTGGTAGCGCGGAAAACATTAGAGGCGTTCTGGATAACATCCAAGAACCCAAAAATGAACCGCAAAGACGAATGCATCGCTGTGACCAACGAACTGGCTCTATATCAAAACCTCTGTGGGTTTTGATCTATGAGGTCGAGGTCAGATGCGTATAAAAGAGGCTAGTTTACTAATGAGGGCATTATCTCAGTCGGTGGTACTCGCTCTGTTTACCGTTAAGGCTGTTGAGGTGAGCGCTAGCTTAGTCTGTCCTCTGGTACCGTAGTAGTGCTTGTTATAATGTTGAGTTTTGTTTCTGTAGGCTGACAAGGTATTTGAGCGGATGAGTCGCAATGTTTCTGACCTTTTCAGGCTCTGAAGAAGGCGACGCCGCCGAAACGTTAGCCCAAAATAAAGGTTATTACCAATCTTGGCTCAAGGCTCAAAAAACAAGCTCAAAGAAATAGAGTCGTCAGTTATAAAGAGCATTGCTGCTTTTCGCGATCTCTGTGCTGTTTGTGAGGAGGTTAGTATGTCGATGATCTTCTAATATTTTGGAAGCCTTCGTTGTTGTTGAATTGTTCATCGTGACTTTGTACTCTTTTTGCAGATGAACTGGTCTTGAAAACGTTGTTTCTAGTCTTTACATTGTAAAGTTTGAACACTTGCCTTAATCTGTTTATCCGCATATGTTATGTGGCAATAACATATGTATATCATACAAATAACACGTATACTATACCGTTAGGGTTCATCTTCTACACGTTCCTCGACTGGTCGGTCATTTTGACCGCTCTTCCCCACCCTACCGGACGTCGAACTCCTTGATCCAGGAAGCCCCGGAACAGCAAGATCAAGTATGTTCCACCCCAACAACGACTGTTGATACATCGGAACATTCAACGTGAACGCCTGCCAAATGAAGTCCAACTACATGAACTGCAAGAAGCTTTGAAGAGAACACGACTCGATATACTGGCCCTAACGAGATGGAGAGACGAGTTTTAGAAGAAGCTTGGCACTTGCAATTGACAAAGAGTAAGATCACTCATGTTAAAAGAATGGATCAGTTTGTTTGGGTGCCGCATATTCTAATAATATAAAAGGCAAATAAATCATAAATTGCAGATCATACTATACTGTTCAAAAAGTTCATCTTTAAATGGACTTAGTAGTGGAACTCAACAAAATAATATCATATTTATCATGCAAATTTCAAAATGTACGCTTCACTTGCAAGAGTAACAGCTGTTTAAGATATAAAATAGCTTGGTTTTCATTTCCGGCTAACACTTTCTTTGGATTCTCGATCCTTATTTTATCGTTTATTGGCTATGAACAGACGACATATCATATTACGGGAAAAAGATCGTGTATACACGCGAGGATATGAGTGGTAATATAAGCGTACTAGCTGGCTTACCCGGCTCCGCCGTATCCGGACCAAACTTGGCACACATACACTTCGGGCCCCGGCCGGTGTCACAGTCCACTTTTCGTTATCGATCGATGTCGATTTTACCGATTTTTATCGATTTTTTCGCAGAGTTCACCTACAGGGCTAGGAGTTGGCACAGGGGGGGAAGTGAGCATGGGGATTCCGAATACAACATTAGTTTTCAGGATCGTCCATTACTTTTATCGATTTTATCGATTTTTTTTGTAAAGTTTGACCTGCGGGGCTGGGAGTTTGCACAGGGCGGTAATCGAGCATGCTGATTACGAACACAATATTAGTTTTCAGGATCGTCCATTACTTTTATCGATTTTATCGATTTTTTTGTAAAGTTTGACCTGCGCGGCTGGGAGTTCGCACAGAGGGGTAATCGAGCATGCGCCGGGGCCTGTAGTGTATGTGTGCCAAGTTTGGTCTGGATCGGTTCAGAAATGGAATTTTCTATTCGGAACATACGTACATACAGACAGACATACAGACAGACAAACAGACATTCAGCTTTATATATAAGATAAGTTAGTGGATATAAGCGTACGATAATTTATGTACAGAAGGCCCTCTTTACTTCCAGCTCTTTATTCTTCTTCTTCTTCTTCTTCTCCGCTGAATTGGGAAACCGCTTCAGGGAATTGTTCAGCTGCTGAAGACGTTGATTTTTTGCACTGTTTACTTACGTAGTAAAAATACATATAACCACTCATCAACTTCGCTTTGTATAACTGGCGAAGGAGGTTCAATCTGTGTTGATTCTGAAATGGAATCATCACAATATCCATATGAAGTTGTAGGGTAGTGGCTGCTTACTCTGTTCTTTTCCGCCGAAGTTTTTTTTTCCTCGAAGCTATCCGCTGTTGCTGCGATGGGTGCTGGGACGGCTGATGCTGTGGGGTTGTGATTGCGGTAGGGAGGTGGCCAAAATGGAGCATATTTCCACGGAGGGTGCGGGTGCAGGAAGGTCACGACCATACTGCAAAAAAGTTCCACTTTTCTAAGTGCTACTTCAAATATGATTATCTTCGTTTTAAAAACAAATTAGCTACTTCTTTTTGCACTCAGCACAAAGCAGTACTCCTTCTTTGCCCACCACAGAAATCCCACTACAAAGACCTTCAAACTGTGGAATTAGAAGCCAACCAAAATCTGTTTCTTCCATTTTTCGCTTTTCATGGCTGTGCTTTCACCAACTGTTACTCATAATCAGAGAAAAGAAAACGAATCAGGCTCAAATCACTTCTGTGAAATCTACGAGGTTTAAGCTATCGAAACATATAAAATTTTACTCGCTAAAAATGTTTAATCATATTCGAACATGACCACCTCACTCAAGTAGCCCAGTATCTGGAAATTTCAGAATTCGAACAAACTTCGTCCACAGTGGTTTGTCATGCTAATTATGAATATATTACTTGTTATGATTGGTAGGCCCTCTTTATCATGCTACGATAAATGTACGATGACGAGTCAAGATTCATGTGCTTGTATTTCGCTTAATGGGGTTATCTGGCAAACCTTACGAATAACATGTCACTATCATGTTACTGTCACTATTATCAGTATTACTCAATTCCGAACCCCCTTCCCGTTTTGACACATCAACACGAACCCCAGATGTGGCGTGCCACACCCCTTTTTGACCCTGCTCTTGATCCAGTATCCTAAAAATACCAAGGCTTCCGCTCCATAGTTGTGTTCAAGCTAAACAAGCTATCCACGGAGAACGAACTTTAGAAAATGACGAATCAAATTCTGCGATTTCAGTTTGGTGCTAGAATATCGCCGAGGGCCGCTAGCTCACCTAAAAAATGTATTAAAATTTCCTACACAACAAAAGCCATAGATTAAGTTGAGAGGCTCCAATCTCGTACGGAAATGGAAAAATAAAAAATTCATGAAAAATGTGCCCAGAGGAGAAATTTTTTGTCGTCGCAATTCTCCACGGAGTTTGAAACCATTTAGAACACTGTAATGCATTTTGGATGAAATTGTGTTCTCTGAAAATTCAGAGAACACAATTTCATGCATAATGAGAGGGTTTTCCTGTAACATTTTTAACGATTTTATTTTTTGCTTCCATACAAAATTGAAGCCTCCCAAGTTTTGCCGTTTAAGTGATTTTCAAAAGTAAGTATACATTTATACATTTATACATTTTTTGGGCCAGCTAGCGACCCTCTGCGATTTTCTAGCACCAAAGTCAAAATCGCAAACTTTGAATAGCTAATTTTGGAAACTTCGTTCTCGGTGGCCAACTCATAGAATGTCACGCTCAATCATCAGTTATGAAGTGCAAGCCTTGCGGTATTTTAGGATAGTGTGCCATGAATTTAGGTTTAGTATGTTGAACATTGATTTTTGTTTGAGTTACGCAACAATTTCTGCACCAACCTGTTAATAATGTAAGTCTGAGTTGAAGCCAGCACCACAACGGTGTGTTTAGACGTACAGTCCCTCCACAGTTGCTGCTACCCTTGGTCTGCGTCTCAGACCTGCCACGTGTGGCTAACATGTAGGCAACATGGCAACAACATGTTTGCAACGTGCCACAACATGTTGGCAGAACATTTTGGCCACTCCAACATGTTGCTGCATGTTGCAAACATGTTGTTGCCACGTTGCCAACATGTTAGCCACACGTGGCAGGTGTGAGACCAGACCAAGGGGTAGCTGTGGGGGGGGGGGGGACGATAGATAGCTTTTCATACAAAAAAATATTAGAAAAGCAAACGTTTTGATGCATATTTTGAACACCCTAAATTTATGTACAACCAAATCCGTTCCTATTGACTAGTAGTGATCTAATCTGAAAATGGCAGGGAACCGTGGAAAGATGCTTTTGGGAACTTTACGGTCTTTCCCTCTTTTCATTAAATTTTCTCGAGACAGTACAACTATGAGCGTTTGGTGAGGGCAAGCGTTAGGCGACAAAACGTGCAAAACGCACGCAACCGTAAATCCCGTAACTCAAGACTATGCACCACTTTTTCATTAGCGTCGGGTAATGTATCGGCCCCGACCCCCACCCCCCTGTTTTTGGCGGAGGAGACGTTTTGCACGGGGAGTTCTTTAAGGTCCAAAAATTGGGTTTGTCGCCTAACGCCCTACACCCGCTTTGGTTGATCGTTACGAAAACGCCACAAATAAAACCGAGTTTTACCACATATCTACTTTTTGTCCGATAGATTACGAAAGTGCAATATATTCAGGAAGTTTCGCGGGTGAAAACTTTCTTCCAACCCGGAAGTAATTCATAACGAAATGTGGAGCGATGAGATGTACAAGTCGCCCGCTGCAGATCTGTAATCCTGCAAATCCCGCGAATTCCCGCAAATCTCGCGAATTACACCCCCTTCGCGTAGGTATGCCATATTTCATCATCCGTTATAACTGTAAAACCCTTTTTATTTGAATTTCTGATTGAAAAGACGCTTCAGCACATAGAAGATACATTTGCATAGTACTAGACCTTCATAGTGGGCTTTTTGTTCTAGAATTGCTCAACAAAGAGCAATCAAAACACTTGTTACTTCCCATGTTTCTTCGTTGCCACTGCTCACCACCTAGTTCTTAATTCCAAGAATTGTTTCGTGCCTTACATGCCTTGTGATTTTGAGTACAAAATCTACACACTTTGGTTCCTCCGTTAAATCGAAAAAAATTTTACATCTATGGCCACCAAATCCGTCAAAATAGAGATTTATTCATGTCTAAATTGCGTTTAGTGCAGTTTCCATCCCCTATCTGATGACTTATGCTATCATTTCAGACGTCCAAATGCTCTTTAAAAAAGGGAGGGATCTTCTGAATGACTTTCGCTGTCATGCCTCGATACGATTATATTTACAAGCTTTATTTAATGAACTTCCCAAGTTGGAAGTTTGAAAAATATTTATTTTGGAACAGCCGCCGCTTCAGAATCTTCGAATTTTACCAGGGATTTGTGAATTTTTACGTTAGTGCATAACAGTCCTCGCTTTTCCTTAATAATCGCAACCTTCACATAACTCAAATCTGCTTTGTATTAATTACGAAACAAGTGAATCATTGCCTTGGAAGGCCTTTTAGGAGAGAATTTTCTCCAGATAAGAACAAAAGAAGAATTATCGTGATTTTATTAAGTTGGCTAGTAAATAAGTTCGTTTTGACGTGCAAATTCAGAGCTTCATGACAATTTACGTACAGCTAAGATTTTTTTATAAGAAGATAGCTTCAAACCTCTACTCTCATATCTCAAGTAGTCAACATTTTCTGCCACCAAAAATAGCAGTTATACCCATATATGATCAGACTTCTAAAAAATCGCTTTTTGATTTTCTAACTTTCGTTCTTAGCCTGCAGTGAGTGCACAGGCGAGTAATTTGATGGTTGGATACATTCAGCCTCTGGCCAGGTGGCGAACCACAATGGAAAGTGTGACCAGCTCTTTCTGAATTTCTGCAGCCGAAAATGTGAAAATTTCCAGGCATTTGCGCGTGAAAGACAAATTTTGGCCGTTCTAGATCACTCGAATTTGGCCATCTATGGCCATGCAAATGGTTTGAAATTTGGAAATTTGTTGTAGAGGTGCCGAATTTACACTTTACACCTGACTTCACCTCGTTTTTCGGAGTATGATTTTTCAGAAATCGAGGAAAAAATTTGGCTATTCTTCTTTCCTGCACCATTTCGCTATCAGAAAAACCATGCTTGAGAAAGCAGAGTTAGCCATTTGATTGTCCTTGATTTGTTCTTTTCAATGGTATTATATACACAAACAACCGATTTGTGACAAATCTACAAACCGCTAAATCTACCGAACTTACTTTTTTAGCCAACCCAATAATTTCAAGTTAACCAGCCATAAATCAAACATTGTGATAAAGATTAGTCATTATAAACTGAAATGAAAGTTACCCTTTCGAACTGAATGAGCAAAGAAATTTCCATCGAAAATCTCTACAAATTTACGACATTCAAATCCATGACAAAAATAAGCTCAATCTTTTTATTATTACAGTCAAAAATCTAACTATGCCTAGAAAAGCTCAACAACAGCAAAATTGTTCAATCAAGAAATGTAGGTCGTGAATTTCTAACACCAACTTTCTCGTTTTCGTTGTGGTCTTTCCAATTTGAGATGATCTAATTTTTGAAAATTGGTATAAAGTGGTGATCTCCATTTTTCACTTTCAGTCGGCACATTCTTTCCTAGTTAGCGCCATGGTGCTGTTACAAAAACAATAATCACGATAGCAATAATTTTTCGATGTTCGTTAATTAACGCTTCACAGGGAAGCATGAGAGTATTTGCAATAATTACTCTTCCCATTGCGAATTCTTTGCAAATGTTGAATCGCTCACATTGGCAAGAAACCCTATCGACTGTTGCATGTCCACGTGCGATTCACGCGGAGAACGATTAGCGTGCGCGCAGCTCGCGTGATCGCGCGTGGTTCGCGTGCGCACGCAAATGTGGCTGGACAGCAACGCCGCAGATGACTGGCATATTTGTTCGATTGTTGTATTGCTCATAACTTCGTGTAGTCTCACATTCGAATGCTAGATAGCAATTGCTCTTTGCCCATTCTAAAAGCATTTTCAAGCAAGCCAAAGAAGGTGGCATGCATCCTGTTAACCAACTACCCAATGATTGCTTTTATGGCGCGATTTCTTTTCTGATAAAGCCCTGCATGATCGTGGAGGTCGGTGAGATTGCGGCATTGCTCGCGCATTAAGCATCCTCAGTATTCTTTCCCGTCAAACGTTTTTCTGCTAACGGATGTTAGTCTTGATTTTGGACCTTGAAAAGTACGAGGTTGTTCACTGTTTGGGGCCTTTTCTCATGCTGCGTGGGCAATGGCCGCAAATACACCAATGTTCACGATTTGAGAAGCCTTATATCTCGCTTGAAGCGTCCCTTATTGATCGGTACATGTATCTCGCGAGTGCCTCGCGCGGCGTTCGCGAATGCTCGACTGGCAGGCGCCATACTTGATCCGCTTGATCCGCTTGATCCACTTCATCCACTTCACTATTGGTTAGTTCACTGAATTGACCAATGATGAAGCGGATCAAGCGGACCAAGTGGATCAAGCGGATCTAGTATGGCGCGTGCCACTGGTGCGTCAAATCGGTCTCATCGATCGATGGTAGACATGCGCGGCCCTCACCTTGCGATGCGTAGCCGCACGCAAATGGGACACTACAGCTGAAACGAACTGTAATCTATATAACTCAAACATGTAGAAGAACAAAGTGGCAACTGCAGTATTTTTAGGGTTGTACTTCGGTTACTGTGTCTATGTGATATCATGGATGGCAAATTCGCTGCTGCACATCTTGCAACCTTACAAAACGTTGTAATACCACTTACCGATGTTATTGGAAACGCAACTATTGGAAGTTACAGCGAAGTAAGATGGCACGGGACTCTCTTCAAAGCAAAAGTTTGTTTCTCTTAGTTTTCCTTCACATCAATCAAATATTCAGTTTTTTTTAAGATTCTTTACGTCGGTACGAAAAGCGATTGTGAGGAAAAAGCGCTGCAGTCATCTGCAGAGGAGGATTCAGTAGAATTCAAGCCTGTGCCAGGAATTAGCACTGACAGGTACGACTCAGTCTTTTTTGTTTTTATTCGGTCAATCTTTACAAGCCTTTCCACCTTCTTTTGCACAGTTTTTTGCCATTCTTATTTTCTTCGCTTTTGTTCCAAACCTAATAACATGAACAGGCTACTTTCTGAATGGATATTACCTGTTTCGGGTACACTCGGCTTTATTCCGGCTGTCATTTGTGTGATTGCACCACTCTCGGTAGTCAGGTCGGTGATGACATGCAGCAACATCTTCCTGATGACCCTAAGGCACACACCATATTTGACTTGATCCGCTTGATCCATTTCATCCACTTCGCTATCGGTCAAATCAGTAAACTCACCAGTAGCGAAGTGGATGAAGTGGGTCAGGTAGACTCCGCGTTACTATTGGTCATTACCGCTTTGACCAATAACGAAGTGGATCAAGTGGGTCAATGTGGCGCATGCCTAAGGACAACATGTTGTTGCATGTTGTCAACATGTTAGCCATGACTTCCGCTCAGACCTGTGCAATAGTAGCGCGAATCGTGGAGTGGACGATAGCTTGAATAACCAGCAAAACTTCCCGTGTTAACAGGCAGCTTCTGTAGGATTACGGTAGCCATTCAACAAAAAAGCCACGCACATTCTGTTTGATTACTGTGGGCTAAGACTGACCTTATAAAAGTGATTGTAAAGGATCAGATAATTTCAGAACCGACGACCACCCGTCATCTTTGAACTCGCTGATGATAGCCTCTAGTGAGATAATGAATGAGGTGGCAGTGCGCAATGATGAGCTTCTAGCCGATATGTTACGTCACGGACTTAGCGAGGAGTTTCGTGCTTGGAGAGAGCAGACCACAGCTCTTTTGGAAGAAGCAGTGGCATTGAACAGAGAAATTCTGCGAAGGCTACCCGCACCTGTACAGACAAACTCAGGTATGCAGCTTTTCCTTGATAAGTTAATATAGTTTTCCTCGAATCATTTGTAATTTTATATGTGAGCCTGCACACTATGTGCGGCAACCGACGACATCCTTACTAGTTGCTGCTCGCTAAAACCTTTTTTTACCGTAAGAAATTGAATATGTACTACTAACTGCAAATACTCAAATTGAAAGAGACGAAGAAACAAGGAGAAATCAATGAAAATGAGCAGATTCTAATTGTGCAACTCGTCAAATAGCGCACATGGTGTGCAGCGCATATTACGTTACAAATGACTCAACGTATCTAATGAATTTTCCTGATAGAAGCTATCAACTACGGCATCGTCGAGCAAGAGAGGGTGGAGCGACTAAAGGAACTACGCAGTGATAATGTCTCGCAGTTTGCTCTTGATTTGGAAAAATTCGCTTACGAAGACGGTCATCCCGACATGCTGGAGCACGTGGAAAATCGCTTTGCCACCGCGGATCGAGTAGAATTTATACAGAAGGTAATACCTTCGAGTCTTTTATAAGTTAATATGTGTACTGCACACTAAACGCGCACCCACGGTTCATGTTTCTTTTTTTGAAAATCTCTTTCAAAATTCTTTTTTGAACTTGATTCAAATCAAGGAGTGGTAAGTGCGGGCTTATGCAAGACTGCATGCGTTTAATGCCCGTACAGCACCATGCTAAGGCCGTATCGGAGTGTCAGCGACGTTCGTGAATCAATGCGCAGCGCGTCATTTGGATTGCGGATAGCACGGCGGTGGAACGGCGCTGGCACAGCGCAGCGTATGGAAACTGTGTACCAGCCTAGAGAACCGTTTTTGAACAGTCGCCTTTATAAATACGATATCAGTAAATTTTATAACCAGGAATTCGTGGAGTGCGCTCGGTATGTAAATACACAATAAGTTAGAGATAACTACATTATATATCGTAAGAATTTTGGAGATTGTAGGCTATGTTACTTGCAGTGTATCTACAAGTACTACAACGTGCCACTTGATGCCAGGAAGACTGCATGGAAGACGGCGAAGAATGCCCTGAACGCAAGAGCTCGTCATAAGAGAAGGTTGAAAGCCAATGGCGCCATTTCCGATGGAAGCAAACCTGGTACTTGATTGACATTGATATACATTGATTTACTAGAAAACATCTCTAATACATCGAAAATGATCATCATAATAATGTGAGTGAATGTCGTTCAATTGGCGAGCAAGTACAGGTTGAAATATATAGGCTGTACCAACCACCAAAGGCCGCGGCGCTGTTCGTAAATACGCTACACACGCGCGTCGCGCGGAAGAAATTTACCGCGGGCGCGGGTACTAACCCGCAGGAGGTGCAGAGCAGATGGAGGAGACATCATACTGAGATAAAATTGAAGTATACGCGCCAAATAAACCCCTTCTCTCCAGAGTGCCCCAATTTTCCTACTAACAAAGTTATCACGGTGCATTACCTCCAAATCTTGTATGAATTCGAGAAAAAACCAAAAAAATTTGTTGGAAAGTCTTAATACGAAGTAAGGTAGATCTGCCATCTTTAAGGCTATTGATTGAGGAAATAATTCTAGCAATTAATGGAGACTAATTAGTTTTCAAACAGATTGGCTTGATATTCAAAATTGAAAGGGTTTTGCTTAATTTGCAGGAATCGCTGGTATTCTTTAGCGACCTTAGTTCATCTCAACTATATCAAACTGTGGATCTCCGCCATTACACATCATATTCACATTTTCTTGCCTTCTGATGATTAGGTCCCTACGAAATTTGCATAATCATTATCTTCCCTCATTATCCTGTCTTTTATGTTCACCAAAACAGTTTCTTAGTCATTGTTACGGTTTTTCATCTTAATTTCCACTTCATCTTCCTTCTTTGTCTCTCTTAAATGTGATTTTTTTTCGGAAGTGCTTCTTATTTGGTCTTGTGCTTTTTTGGAGATTTTCGCACTTTCTTTGAGACTAGAAGCAGTTAGCCTTCACTCGCCATGTCATTTTTCTTTTTCTTTTTGACAATGTGCTTGTCATGCATATTATGCTGTCTGGAATTTTTATCCGTATTTTTTATATCAATAAATGAGAAACATTATAAGTACAAATCACTGGGTCTGCGCACGGCAAAAAAAATTTGTTCCAAAATAGCAGATGCTGAAAAATAGGATGAATATAAGAGAGAATCATTTATCCGGCAAAACTTGGAATTTTCTGAGTTAAGAAAAGCACTTACATGAGGCTAACTATATCAATACTTGAAGTCCAGAGCATCATTATTCATGAGGAGAGCGTATCTAATAATGAGCTGTCATCGCAAGACCACGTCACAACGACAAAAAATTTTTTTTTGTTCTGATCGCAGCTTATCAAACAGAACACCAATCTTGCCACTAACTATTATATTTGTATGAGTCAGAATGAGTCATTGCAATCATTTCCGCTGCTAAACTTTTTAGATGGCAGTAGAATAGTGAAGTTCATACACTTATGATAGAAAGGTGAACAATGATTGAACATCTGAAACATGAAAGAGAATCTAAAATAGCTCCTTAGCTCCTTATGTCTGGATAACCATTCCATTGATAATTGCGATCAAATCAATAATTGGGGTTTTTTCTAATCTTTGATGTGATAGAGTGTTATGCTAGCATTAGTGGCGGTGTCAGAAAATATTTCGGGCCCGGGAAAGTGGGGAGGAGAAAGACAAAAATTGTTCAAAAAAGTAAGCATGACTTTAAACATCTACAGAATCTGAGATGCTTCTAAACTATAAGAATTATTTTAGAATGCTCCTCGATTTTCTGAAATATTTTCTACAAAGCTAGTTTAATTCTTGTAAAGGCATAATCTTAACTGTTTACAGGCAGAACAAGTTCCAGCATACTTCTAGCTGCAAGACCATTTTCACTTTTTCATTTTAAAGGCAGTGGAAAGGAGAGAGGGCAACACTACATCAACTCAGAGTGCTCTACAGTGAACTACAAAATCTAACAAAAATTGTATATTAGTAAACCTATCTCATAATTCGATCTAAAAAATGTAATTGCCAAGGTTCAAAAAGAATGTAACACGGTTATATTAGTAAATCTATCCATTCGTATACTAGATTACTTTTGTTTGTAAAATTGTTTTGTCCGTTTCCAGCTCCCAGTTTCACATTACAGCTATGATTTCCAAAACGGCAGAATATTCAATGAGTGCAAAAGCCTTTTATATCGCTACAAAAGCACAGCTACAACCAAATATTCGAAGAACACATGAGTTGAAGTTGTGTGCCAAAGCCTATCATTATGAAATGTTCCAGATTTTATAGAAAAATTGTTGTAACTAAGCCGAATAATGTGCTTTGATCTTGCTTCGAGCAGTGTTTGAGAACCTCTCACAATCCGCTCGTTGTGTGTTTTTTGTGCAAAGCTGTTGCCCGGCAGTTTACAGCAGCATGTGCAACCAACTTCCACTTGTCACTATGGCAACTCAGGTCATGCCCTTCATAATAGTGAGTGTAGACAAAATAAATTGCACCCGCATAAACATAATACCTGTTCTTCTTCGGGTTTTCGCCAACGCGGCAACTTTTTGTTTACTTGCCAGCTCTTTGAATCTGCTTTGTAGTCAGGCATCAGCATTATTTCTTGATTAGTTATCGTTATCGCGTCCACGCATAGTTAGTGGTGCGATGTTCCTTTATCGCATATGTCACTCAATTGCCTGTTCTTTGTTATAGAATGAAATCTACAGCTCTTCTTCCTTCAACTTTTTCCGTTTACTTTTATATTTTGTAAAGTTTTATTCTCCATTATATAGTATTTCAAAAGGTTGTATAGATGATATGTTTTATGATAGTCTTCCACAAGAAGTTCTCTCTTACTTCCATCTTTCAGTCATCCATGCATGGTTAATAAAACCAACTCGAACTTCCTCCTTCAAAGAAAAGGAGTGAAAGTATTTCAAATGAAAGATCGAAGAATGATTTTCGAATCGTTTTTCTCTGTGATTTTCCTCCAAGGACTTTTCTCACCTAAAAAAATTTTCTTGAATATTGCACGAATCTTTAGGGGTTCGTAGAATTGAAATTTTGGTAGAAAGAGAGATAGGAGGGGGGGGGGCGGGGAGGGACGGACCTGCTAATTTGATATTCAAAAATTCATGAATCGCTCAATTGTTTACACATAAACAACTTAATTCCGCCTACTCAATTCATCTTTATTTGGGGGAAAAATTTCAGTTTCCAGAAAATTCAATAGTCTGTAATATAAATAAGGAAAACTACTTTCCCACATTTTCTTTATCGTAGCTATGCATTAAATGGGCATCACCTGAGACACTTCCCTTATCTTGGGCTCAAAGTATAGTGACAGTGTCAGCTGCTAGAATTTTCCTTGGAAGAACTGAAACAGATGCTAGCTAATTTCTAACAGCTGAAACCGTCAATTTTCAGTTTTTTTGTTTGTATTTCATGTCCATCAGGTTGTCCCATAAGTTCCGCCCGCTTTGAAAATCAACCATAACACGTCATAACTTTTCTATTTTTGAGTAGGTTTCAGGGTATCATTCGATAGATCGAAGGAACCTCTACAAGGGCTTCTTTGCTTTTGCACTAGCTTCAGTCGATTCCGAAGCCAAAATCTTAAAAGTTGGTTGCCCAAAACATTGAGATAATCAAATAACTAAGTTGGCCCGAATGTTCGCTCGCACTACTTTCATAAGCTCATAACTTTTGAATTTTTAGAATGATTTGCTTGCTTTCACTTTTCTATAAAAGAGTAAATTGAACTCTTCACAACAGTGTCTTTGTGGATTTTTGTTGAGCATACACTGCAATAGGTAGAAGGGGAGAATTACTCAGATTTGTTATTTTTTGTGTTTGATCGTAATGAATTTATAACTTGAAAAATTGGAGGAGTCGGAATTACAGGTTCAATCCTTCTTTCAAAATGAGCAAAATTTGTGCGGATCAAAAGTCTTTATGAAGAATTATGATTTTCAAAAAAAAAAACTGCTAAACAAATCAAATTTGCTATTTCATATTGCTCGCTCAAAATCATAACTTTTCATGAAGATTTTCAATCAGCACAAATTTTGTTTTTTATCAGCAGAAACATAGAAAGAGCAGGTTATAAAACGCAAGACACCAAATACGACTTTTACTGCAAATTTCAAATTTTTATGGCCAAACACAGGATAACAATCCAAGTAATTTTCCTCTACCGCTTCTATCTATGCAATGAATGTTTAATAGACAGCCGCTTCTACTGTCGCATGATTCACTCCTTTAGACAATTTAGAAGCAAGCAAATCGGTTGAATAAATCAGAAGTTACGGATTTTTGAAAATAGTGCGACGACTTTTCGTGCCAACCTAACATTGTCCATAAATTCTGCGGTCTCTCAATCATTCACGCTAAACGCTCCATATTAGACATTTATTTACCGTTGCCGTAGATTTTCCTTCGCCGTAGATTGGAAAAACAAAAAAAAATTTTATGCTTTCGCCAAATGGTTCGGGTTTATTAGGAGAGAGCAGGTTATTGTAAGAGGGTAGGGCTTCAGAGTGTCGTCTGATAGAGTAAGCAAGCTCTACAAGATGGTTTGTGGAAGTTTGTATCAGCTTTGATCCACGCTTTTGAAGGCAGATTCTGAGAAATTCTGGATGCTCAAAAAATCTTATTTGTATCTTCGTTCAAAAAAAATCCTACAAGCTTCTTCCTCACTCATGCATATGCACCCTTGGCCAATCATATACATCGTCTTCTATTTGTTCTTAAAGGCAGTGACCCGGCATTTTTCGTTTCCATCTTTTTGCATGTTTTGGGCCTTTTCGGCCCATAGACCCCGAATTTAAACTTTGAAACGGTTGAAAAGGTCTTTTTTTCGGGGCGCTTACACAATTTTCAAAAGGCAGCTCGGACGAGAATTTCAATGGAATGTTGGGAGGCCCCGGCACGAAGACCCTGCCGCCTGTGCGGCAGTGGGGTCCCGCGCCGAACAGGTAAGATAAGACGTTCCGAGCGCGCGCCGAGTGGGGTTGCAGTTCGAAGGCCATTTTCTCGGCGTGGGAGGGGGGGGGGAACATCAACAAGCCGGACTGGGCCTGGAGGTTAATGAGGTGATCAGGAACTCCACCGCAGCTATAATTCTAGGGTGCGAATCTGCCGGGACACTGCTTCAAGCTAAATGTTGAGAAAACGAAATTTTTATGAATGTACAAAAGCGAAGATATGCTGTTCCCTCATAAATGATTGTACACTACAAGCTTATGGTAAACAGCCGTAAATTATCAGCTTTCTACAAGAGCTACTTTTCTAGAAATATTGATATCATAAATACAAAAAATACAAATACAAATACAGAAATGTAGAAATAATGGAAACCCGATGAGGAGAAGTGAATTCGATATTGTCGAAAAATAGCGTTTCTAGAAAACTGAAAAACTAGGCCATTTGTAACGGCTTGTACTACACAACTGCTGACGAGAGAACAGCAGAGCTTCGATTTTTAAAAACACGAAAATTTTCGCTTTCTTGATTTTTAGCCGAGATAAATATACAGCTTGCTACAAAGATACTGCGCTGCCTGTAGTGGGGTGTATTTGTGTGAGCGGCGAGAGATCGTAGGATTTTTAAGACGAAAATATAACTTTTCTTCCATTTTTTACGTCTTTAAAACTTTTCTATTTAGCTTCAAACTTGCGATGGTTCTCATTTGTTCACATCGATTTTAGACTTACACAATCTTGGTTATCGTCGGTGGCAGCTTCTTTCCATGCACCCGTCTGTCCATCTCGCTAATGGTACTCTTCGGAACGTTTTGCTTTACGGAAATCTACTTTGATGTCTTTGATCCATGTGCCCTCGGTT